TGTGCTGGACTACTAACAACAAGGTCAACAGATCGAAACCACTAGTGGCTCCTGGAGAGAAAGATAAAGCTTTCTACTCTCATAAAGAGTTACAATCTAAGAAACCCACAGGGGTGGTTCTACTCTGTCCTATGGGCTACTTAGGGTCTGGATTTATTCAATGGAATATTTTGCAAATATTTAAGTGTGGAGGAGTGCATAATGCAAAAAGTACATAGGAAAGGGGAATAATTGGAAAACATGCTGAGATAGTAATGAAAATAAAGGATAAACTATTTGTCAGAAATAGTTTAATAATAGTATCTCTATCAGTTGATGGTGGGGGAAGGGCCTTCTTTCCTGATGTCCTGTGGGCAGGTTTTTCTCCATCTATGAGCTGGGCTGCCATCTGCAAGATCTGTAGTTCGAGAGCACCAACCACTCAGCATGACAACGACAGGGCTTTCTACTCCCGTCAAGTCACAGTCTCGGAAACTCACAGGGGCAGTTCTACCCTGTCCTACAGGGTCACTAAGAGTCGGTATCCACTGGACGGCTGACATCCACTTATCGTTTAGAAGACCTTAGTAATATTTATACTACAAGGGCTCTTCATCTTAATGCTAACAATTTTAATTAATTTAATACTAAAATTTTAAATTCAAAAATACTAACAGCGGGCATAAGGATAATAATGAAATATAAAATAAGAGGCTAACTGCCATTAATGATGAATGGGTGCTCATGTGGTTGATGTCTGATTCATCTATGAGTAAATGAATCTGCCTCCAGGATTCAAAATAATGGCTGAGTGGACAAAAAGTCAAGTGTTGTTGGTTGGCTGTGTGGAGCAGAAGGACGATGGCGAACATAAGAACTGAGCAGATAGGGCTAAGATCTCTCCGTAAGATGGCATAGGCAAACAGAAGTATCATTCAGGCTTTCTGGGTGGTGGCGTGTTGAGTGGATTAGAGGAGTGGTAGCTGCCCAAACCCCCTAATGTATCCGAGGCAAAGACGACTAAAGTTAGTAAAAAGAAAATTACCTCTTATTACTATAAAAAAACTCAACTGGCCAAGCTTTCCAAGTTTCTACGCTGGTGCTTTTAAATTTGATGACTACCCCATTTGGACTTTCCATATTGACTCGCTGTGAAATTATTACTGGAGGGCCCATGATTCTCCTCCCCCTTGAGACACTTTTCCTGAATCAAAGCTAATTCAGTATAACTAGTTTCAATATTGTAAACATTTGGTCCAATACTCTAAAGAAAACAAAAGTCAAAGGAGCTTTTGGTAATCCAAAGCAATATCTAAATAACTTAATATTCAATCCGAAGATAATAATTCCTGTGAAAGACATCAAATTAAGAGAGGCGCGAGACTATCCAAAGAAGGGCTCTTACCGGTCCTTCTCATTAACCCGTATAAGGAGTTAAGGCTTCTATCTAGCCATCGCTCCCACTTGGATGGTCCAAACTCCTGGAAGCCTCAAACAGAAAGGCAGCCCGCGCACGGCATGAGGAGTAGGCAGCTCGCCAGGTCACGGAAGGGGAAGACCACAGGACATCCCAGGCAGTTGAAGTGGTCCCTCTGGGTTTTCTACTTCCAATGTGTCCGTCTGTTCTTTTTTTTCTTACACAAAGCAGATCTTACTTGGTGGTTTGGGTAATGAAAAAAACGTGAAGTAACTGCTCTAGTTTTACACTCACTACCCTTAAAGTGGCTTTGCTTTCTAAGTTAAATTCCGTTAACTTAAAAGCAGCATACATTTTGCGTGTGTCCTGTATACATCTAAAAACTTCTCCAAATTACACATAGCTTAGCCATTTTCATATTGATTTGTTACACCTTTTATTTTCATTGTCCTATGCTCACAATTGAAGGGATGTATTTCCTCACTGCTTGTACTTTTGTGCTCTTGGCTCTTGTTTACTTCCTGGAGAGCACTTTTTCTTACATCTCCTATAAGTCAAATAACTAATGGCATGGCATGGCCTGGCATGAGAACGCCCTTGTTAACTCAAGCAGTGGTTAGCACAGCCAATTTAACTGAATGGCGAATCTGTCATCCTTCCTCACAATCTGTACCTGGAAAGTTTGATCTCCCAGCATTCCCTCTTTTCCTCATATTGAATGTTACCGTTAATACCAGTGCTACTGGCAGGCAAGCCAGCCATGTCCGACCGACTACAGCATTCATCCAACTCTCCCACTGACTTGCTGGTGTCTTGCTCTCACTTCTCTCATGCTCAGACAAAACCTAAAAGTACTTATGCTGACAGATGCTCTCTTCGTTTTGCTGATAACTATGGATATTCTACCACACCTATTTCTGCAAAACAAACAATGATAAAAGACCGAACTTCTGCTCTTACAAAATGTTCAGAATTTAGGAGTACTTCCTACATACAGCTCCTTCTTGAGAGATGCTTTCAGAAAGCTTATCTTTCTGAGAATTGAACAGGACCAGGAATCCTCTGTGTACCATGAAGATGTGTGTTGTCATGAGGGGCCAGAATATTTAGGGGAAGGCAACAGCAGCACGCTCTTTACTTGGGCTTTACCTTGTTGAGAGGAAGGGAGCACAGAGAGTCATCGTGCAGGAGTCCATGCTGGAGTTCCCCTACAGTCACTCTTAGAGCGCACGTCTCCACCTGACTAACACCTTCCGAATATTGAAAAGGAGAGACAATCTAGAGGTAACTAAGAGCAGCTAAGCATAAACACTTTAACAGAGAAACATGGTCTAAGTTACCCTTTCTTAAAGGACATTTCTCTCTTCCTACAAAGTTGGTAACTTAGAACTTACCATCCAAAATTCATCCAACATTATTGAAGCAAATAGCTGATGACATTATTTGTATCACAGAAACCCAACAAAAGGTCTGAAATTAAAGTTAAAATGAATAGTAAAACTGCCGCTAATTCACTCTAACCTCAAAGGAGAAGTCTGTGCAGCTACAAGATTCCCTACTGCACACTTGGAAAAAGACCCCGGCAAATGAGAACGTTATCATACAGGTCTGCCACAGCTACTTGGCTCCATGAACCTCCACTCCACCCTCAGACTCCCCCCTTTTTAAAGATATTTTTAGCTGGTGCCCTCAGGCATTGAGTAGTATTAACTGGTCTGATATTCATCATCACTGCAATAATTGTAGCTACCATTACAGGCTGTATATAATTTTTGACAAATCCCATGACTGAAAGGTTCAGTTTAATGCCTATGAGAAGGCTGATGGATACAAGTACTTATACTTCAAATGGATTCAGCCCCACTCCCTGTATAAACCACTGGATGCAGGCAATGCCTTTACTGTCAAGGTAGTGACACTCACACTCACCCTCCCATAAAGAAACCACAGGAGACACTGAAGTTCTGGCAGGGTGAAAATGTCAGCTATGGCCTGGCGGCATTTTCACACATGCTGCATTTGGGTCATAGAGGCTTGGTAAATTAAGCAACCATCCAGAATAATCATCTTCTCAAAGTCCATGCAGAAGAAAATCTTTGAGATACTTGTGACTGACCTAATCAAAGAATCTCCCTCGAAGTCCTTGTACAAAAGATGGGCTTTTTAAAAAAGAGAGAAAGAGGGGAATTTAAATTGTGACGATCTCCCTGGACACAATCTGGAAGGGCTGTCTTACGGTCCAGGTGAGGTGCCCATTTGTTAGCAAGCGGCCCTAAGTGCGTGTGCTCCCTTGAAGTAAAGATGAGGGTGCAGGCCCAATGTTCCCCAGAGGAGGCCCTCATGCCAAAGGGGCCAAGCCCTGTGGAAACCTCTTATGCAATTACCTACCAGAATCAGTTCTGCCGGAAGAGACCATGTAATTATGATGTTACTACCCTGCAACTCTCAACATCTCGTAATTATGGCTTTAACTACTCTGCTGTTCTCCCTCCTGGTACATTTAGCCTATTGTAACACACAAGGGGACATATATGTCCTCTTAGGCCGATCCCCAACAAGTTTTCCTCAACAGCCAGTCCTGCCGTAAGCCGATATAACTTTGTAAGTACCGATCATCAGGTGTCTACAAGCATCTGTTACTGCAGGGATGTCAGGGTTTCAGCTGATACCTACTAATGGAGTACGGTACTTCATGGCCTGCCGCTCTCACCTTATGGCAGGTCCCTGGCTTTGCCATTTTAGATGGTTGGACGCACGATGCAGAAGTCAGTCTTTCCTCAACTTGAGCTGTCTCTATACTTCCAATAAGTTTCTTGATTTTATGTGAATTGAGTAAAATCTGTTACTCTGCCACACTTATATAATGCACTGAATATGCCTTGTACAATGCAAAATGATTTTACAAACTCAGAATGTAATATAGAATTTCCAAAGAAAAAGCTACATATAAAAATGAAAAGCCTGAAAATGACTCCGAGATCCTTGACCGATGAGATCAACAATCTCATGTCCTCAGACCAGCCTGCTTGTCTGTTTGGTTTAGGGATATCACCCATGCCCTAATTTCAGGATGCAAGATTCGAACACAGTCTCTGTGTAATTCCTGATGGATGCCACAGTCACAGTGTGTGCGCTGAAAAGGCAGCGCTAATTTTCCCCATTCATATTATTCTACACTGTAAAGGAGGTAACTTAACTAGTATATTACTTGTTCCACAAAGCTACTTAAAAAAAAAAAGCCTGTAAACATGATTTCACGTTCCTCAAGTGGTAGTCTTACAAGCCTTTATTTCTCATGTCATTTTCCAAATCCCCAAAAGGTAAATACAACTGCATGTAACTTCATAAAAATCTAATTCCTGATGATGAAATTTTAACTTGCTACTCGGTCCCCTCCAGTCAATGCTGACTCAGAAAGACCCATGTCTCTCAGAACCAACACTGCCCACTCTGCCATCTTCTCAACCACAGCTTGTCTGAGCACATGATTACAGTCACTGTGTCAATCCGTCTTCTGGAAGGTCTTCCTCTTTTTCACGGACCTTCCAATGGTACCAAACATGATGTCCTTTTCCAGGGACTGGTCCCCTAAAAACATGTCCAAAGTATGTGAGACGAGTGTTGCCGTCTCGCCTCTCAGGAGCATTCTGGCTGTACTTCTTCCAAGACAGATTTGCTCCTTATTCGGTCAGTCCACTGTTCTTTGCTCACACCAGAATTAAAACATATCAATTAGGCCTCCCTTACTCGCTGTCCAGTTTTGAATGCATATGAGACAATTGACAATACCATGGGTTATGTGTGCATTTTAGTTCTGAACGTGAGATCTTTGCTTTTTACGTAACAAGATGATGCTATGTGTAGACAGTGAGAGGTGCTCACAGTCTAGTATTCTCACTCTTAAAACGTCTAGGCAATTTCCGGTTTAGGCGGCTAATTTTTCAAAACATAAAAACATTTTTGCCTATACAGACAGTAAGGTATAAATTTAATTCTGTATCAACAGATATTTGTGCAATGCTCTGAAACCTTCATTGCCTGAAATTCATTAGTGAAATCAGACCCATTGCCTCAGTGGCTTGAAGATACTGCTGTGTGAAAAATCAAATAGAAAACATGTGCTATATTGCTTGGTGGATGTACTGATACCTGAGAAACAACTTATTGCTGGTTTACAGGCCCAGAAAAAATCAATTCAGACAAATGGAATTTTATGAAGTGAAAGGGGAAAAAAGGGTTTTAAACTTAAAGGATATATTGATGTTTTTCAGAGATCTTAAAATTTGTATCACCCTAGATCTAATGTTGACGGTCTTGCACGTGTACTATTCCTAATTCCTTGAAATCACCCAGTAAGATACAAGTCACCATTCTCCTCTAATTTCTGAAATAACTTCAAACTGCGTAATCCAGATTCTTGCTCTCCATTTTTCCACAAAATAATGAGGTGATCAGCAGAGCATGTCACGAGTCCATGATCTTCAAAGTACAGAAACATCTGTAAGGAAAATTGGAGCTACTGATTACAGGAATTTCAAGGACACTAGAAGAGATTAAACTAGATTAACACATGTGCTTGTAGGACATGCAGTTTGGAGACCTAGTTTGATCTGAACACAAAACTTCTGTTTCACTTTTAATGAGAAATGCTACTTTTTAAGTGTTGGTAAAAGTCACTTGCAATTACATTAGTCTCTAGTATGTTAATAATCAGAATACTGCGCAACTATTACAAGCAGCTACTTTAATTTTACCTATAATCTAATTAAAGTATTCATGTCAAGCTTTGACCAGATGGAGGTCCTGCTTTACCTTCATCATTCATACTAATCTCATTATTTATGCCCACGTGAATAACAATGTATGAAAATTCCCCAAGATAAACATTAGCTACAGCTCCTTGTATAAAAGTAAGCATAATCAATCAATCTGCAAACATTTTTCATGTCTCCTCTATATACCTGTAGTCCCTACCTTTAGGTAAGGCTCAAATTCAGTTGGGAAAACCAAATCATAGTTGAAAGAATTAGGTCACTAATTGAAGACTGTATCATCAGGCACTAAATAATACAACATGCCAAAAGTGCAAAAAACGGCCAGGTGGGGGGATTAATTAATGACCACTGAACTTGCCAGAGGAAGTGTCAAACAGGTAAGGCATCAGGCCAAAGGAGAAAACATGCCCAGCAAAGGAGACAGGCTGGAAGCCAGAACAGGGAAGCGGAGGGGGGAGGAGCAGGCGGCGTGGGGGCCAGTGCCAGAGAAGCCTGGCTGAAGCTGAGAGAACCATGGATCCTCGACAGAGAGCGACGTTCAGCAGAGGGGAGACGGAGACAGAGAGGCAAACACTAAGGAATGATAAGATGAGAGCTTTCTCCAGAATGATCCAGGGAGTTCTGAAGACAGAAGGATAAGATCACAAAAGAAATCTCAGCTGATGATGCAGAAGGGAGCAAAATTCCTCAGGAAAAGGATACTATCCACCATAAAGCTCATCGGGCTATCGAAAGGCAGAGCACCTAACAGACAGCCTAGATTTTTCCAACAAAGCCAGAGGTACTACAAAAGTGCTGGTGTTATCACCTAACTCAGGAAGATCCCTAAAAATCAGACACTAAAAATCCCCAAGAACCTGACATTTATGACAAATGTACCCTTGTGCAGGTTTTCCACCACCATTTAAAAGCCTTTAGCAGTTTCCACTACTTTTAAAATAAAGATGAACCTTCCCAGCCTGGCATTCCAAGTAATCAAACGCCAAACCACTTTCCTAGGCTTTATCTCCCAGCCCTCAAACCTAGACAGTGTGTTCCTGGCTACCGAATAGATCTTTTTGTCTATTGCATTCTATGTGCACCACGCTCCAAAACAACTTGTTATTCGGGTAAAGACACATAAGTACATAAATAATAAATACATAAATAACAGGGTTACCTGCTGGAGACGAGTAAAACAACTTCAAGGGGTTTACAATCACAAGGCTGAATTACTCCCACCAAACTTCGAAGGCTCAGCTAACTTCCTTATGATCCACTCAACAGTCAACAAGAAGTATGTTTTCTAACACCTGGATGTTTACTTACTGCTGACTACACATTGTAATCCACCTTGATTAACAGTTTATTAGCTCTGTATATCCCTGTAAAAGTCTAACATCTATGAGCGGAGGAATTACATTGTACATCTCTTTGTAAACTCTTTATGTCTGCTATACAGGCAAAGACATGGGGAACATGCAAAAGTGCCGCTGCTTCTCTGGAGCATGGACACACTTTCAAATGGGCAGTTTCATTCCTCCTGGCTATAAGACTGGGCAGATGTTAAGAAACCCATAAATGAGGGCTCTGATGAGTCTATTATCAGTTCCAGTCATCTCTGTATTTGGACTGATCTTACTCATGACAGGCAATGGTGCCTGTGGTCAAGAGCAATGTTGTCTGAATTTCTACAAGGTGGAACTGTGCACACCCACAATGCTCAACTACTGGATTCATAGATGCACTAGGGTAATCAGGGCACAGGGCTAACAGATTGTAATCCCTACAAACTAACAGATTGTAATCCCTCAAAAAGAGCTAAAAACGGAGCTTTGCTCATGCATTTGCTACAGACCTGTGGAGCTATGAAAGCTTTACAGTACATATGTAGTCACAACCCTCCATTCGTCTTCCGGTTACTTTTACACACACACTCACCGGTTTTATCCATATACAGGAGCTTTAACAGTTCATGGGAAAAGGTCATTTATCTTGCCATTCTTTTTTTCCGTGAACTTTTGAAGCTCCTCATGCACTTAGCACATCCTTATTATAATCACCCTTATTGTCAGCTATTCAGTCTAAAAAAATGATAAGCCCAATTTTAGAAGCAACGCATTTCCTTGCCTCCTCAAAACATCCCCCTCTGAAAGGAGGTCCTAACTACAGACTGTAAGCTATCTTTTCGGAGTCAGCAAAGCCCTACAGGTGTGCTATACAGGCAGATTGCTTTGAAGAACAGAGAGGTTCAATGAATGATGCAAGATGTCAAAGCAGGCATTGCCAGAACATTTATATGCCTATTGAAAAACAATACCTCCACAGCTGAGGAGTGTCCAATCAAATCTCCAACAAGCTCCAGTGAGCATAAAGCGGCATTTTCTTGTTGCTTTTTAACAGGTTGGTTGGCTTGTTTGTTTACCCTTCCAAATCCCCACATGTTAAAAAAACCTAGAAAAACACAACCACTTCAGTCATTTCCAAAATGTCTGTGCTCCTTCTTCCTAACAGTCCTATGTGACCAGAACACGTAAAAGTACAAAGACAGTCCACACTTATTTCATTCCAGGGCTACGGAAATAATGTTGCCAGGTACTAAGCTAGGCTATTTGTTTTTTATTTGTTCAATATTTAGTTTTACCTTTCTTAGCCCCTCCTCACCCTCTAGGGAGCCCTGGTGGTATAAAGGTTACCTGTTGGGCTGCTTACTGCAAGGGGAGCAATCACAACCATCAACCACGATGGAGGGGCTTGCTACTTCTGTCGAAGTACAGTGTGGGGGACTGTACAGGGACAGTTCTACCGTATCCTATAGGGTCACTATGAGTCAGCATCTGCACAGACACAATATATACAGAGGCTGGGAATGAAAGTAGAGATAAGTAAATGCATGAATGGCAGCATCTAATTAAGGTAATTGAAAAACACAAAGTCCCTTTAATCAGTCACCAGTTAAAGAATGTGCCATCAGTCACGGTATCATGTAGTACAGACTATGGTAATAAAGGGTAAAGAGGAGAAGCTATGTGTATGTATCCAAAAGCAATACCCGAAGACTTCAGGTTTCAGAAGAAACTACAGAGACATCACTATCTGATTAGTATGTAACGGCTATTAACTAATGTGCTTAAACAAGCAGGGCCTTGTTTTCAAACCAAAAGCATGGAAGTAAAAAGGTCATGAGATGATGCTCTATACCCAAAGTGTACTCTTCCATAAAGCCATTTGAATTCAATGCTGTCAATGCTTCAAGGTTTGGGGAACACTTTGGGTTGACATCTGAAGGTGCAAAGTCTATTTGTGTATCAGTCAGAATTATAAACAATATTAATCAATTATAGCCAAGATGATCAAAAAATGGCAGTTTCCTTCAAAGCAATAAAATCCCAGCTCACTGAAAGTGAAATGGGCAATTAGAAAGCAAAGCAACTTATTTTAATAAAAATTAAAGTTAGGTCCCACTGACCATATCCCGAAATGCTTCATTATAAACATTTTAGGGACCGTTTGAAATTCTATATGGACCACATTCTATATTTACTTATTTTTGTGGTTATGAGTAACTGCATTTATTCTTTCATATGAGAAAAAGAGAGATACTATCTTTTTAATTTTAAATCATTTTATTTGGGGCTTGTAGAACTCTTATCACAATCCATACATACATCCATTGTATCAAGCACATTTGTACATTTGTTACTATCATCATTTTCAAAACATTTTCTTTCTACTTGAGCCCTTGGTATCAGCTCGTTTTTCCCCTCCCTCCCTGCCCCGTCCCTCATGAACCCTTGATAATTTATAAATTATTATTTTGTCATGTCTTACACTGTGCGATGTCTCCCTTCACCCACTTTTCTATTGTCCTGGCCCCAGGGAGGGGGTTATATGTAGATCCTTTGATCGGTTCCCCTTTCTACCCACCTGCCCGTTCGGGAGAAGGCACTCACCTGTTGGTACAGGCTCAGCTGCAAGCTGCTGTTTTTCTCGTAACTCCCAAATGCGTACACTGCCATCTTCTGAGCATGAAATTAACTGCCTGTCAGACCAAAAGATCAGTAAGACAAAACATTGACAAAGAGTATGGAAGGTGGTGTGCGCGCTTTCTCTCTCTCTCTCTCTCTCTCTCACACACACACACACACACACACACACAAGGCTTTACAACTGGGAATAAAAGCACTCTCAGGAAAGAACTACCATGTATATACTCGAGTATAAGCGACCTAAATATCAGCGAGGCACCTAATTTTACCACAAAACTGCATTAAAAAGGTGCTGAAAAACTCAGCTTATTTTGAGAATGATGATGGCAACAAATGTACAAATGTGCTTGACACATGGATGTTTGTATGGATTGTGATGAGTTGTACGAGCCCCCAATAAAATGATTAAATTTTTAAAAAACTCAGCTTATACACAAGTATATACGGTATATTACACGAATTATATTTTTAAAAGGTCCTTGCTCATCTTTCTCCTCTCCTCTCACTGTCTCTTTCTCAGTGTTTCTCATTCTAAAAATAGCCTGTATTAAAAGGGATATGCCCTCACATAATTTTACCTCTACAAATTCAGCAGCCAAATTTACCGTGAGAAGAAAACCTTTGCTTAGCAAGGCTTAGACAACAAGGAGACTACCATTTAATTCTGGCCAATAAACAGGAAAACCACAAAAATGTAGGTTGATAGAAAACAAAAATTAAGTATATTATAAATGCTCAAAGTTTTTGTTCATTAAAATAAGTACCAAATTACAAAACTATCTCCTCTTACATGAAATCCCATGTAGTTCATTTAAACTTTGTTGCTTGTAAATTTTGTGACATAGTGCATCAAACTCATCTGCAAGAGAACCATGGTGGAGATTCTCCACTTGCAAAAGAACCCTGTCACATGAGAGGTTCCAATGGGGCCCTGGGGACCACGGGTCGCTTTCGTCCAGTGCAGCAGAGATGGGAAGCAGGGAAGCTGTACCGGCTTGGAAGCTTGGCTGTATGCAGGACACGGGAGTCATGTGCTGTCTTCTGACAGGCGATCACACGCTTCAGCTGAAGGTTATACACATATAAACCCCTTCCAACTGCAGCAAATACATTCTAGGGGGGAAAGTTCAGAAATGGGTGTCAAAGTGGGACATAACACTACCTGGTGAGTCAGACTGCCAGCCTAGTGTAACTTCAGAAAGCCACGGTCATTTACACTATTCTTACCTTCAGCCCAAATCACTGCCCTCTGAAGTTCTAATTTATCAAAGCACAAAGCAAGCCCGGCCTATTCAGTCGGTAGGAGGGTGCAGCCTCTAACAGAGAGAAAGCTCTGCATATCACACCTCTTCACCATCCCTTTTTCCTTTCAAAGGTAACAGTAACTATAGGCCCTATGGCTGAGAGTCAGCCTGGTCGTGCAGCTGAACTAGGAGGTACCATCCATCTTAATTTTTGTGGATTCTGTATTTGCAAATTACCCCTTATTAAAATTTATCTGTAGTCCTAAAAATCAATACTCGCAACATTTTCACAGCCATTGATAGATACATGTGTGCAAGGTGGCAACATTTTAAGAAACCGATTCACAGCACCAAGTCAACAGTGTCTTCTTACTTCAATCCTCATACTGTCACCGAGTGTCCTCTCCACACTCAATGCAGTGTCTCGCGTTTTATAGTTTTCTGCCTTGTACTGATGATTGGGTTTGTAAATCACTGTCTGATGCCCCTACGTGTGACCATAAGGCTGTGATGTGCCTTATGGAAAAGATAGCGTGGGTTTACATAGACTCTTTCCGGGACCATTAATTGCACAGCTGAACTTAAATTCAATATTAATGAATCAACGATACACAAAAAAGAAGCTTACAAATGATGTGTGACAAGACACAAAACAAGCTGATGAGAAGCTTGCAGGAACCTCACCGCTTGTTTCCCCAAGCAGCAACAGCTAACTCAGTATTCACTAGTTCAGTGTTCGCGACAACTTTCTCCAACATAGCCCCCAGGAACGATGTATAACCTGGGGTTTCAATCACAGAACCCAATCAGTAGCTTTCGAAAATGATTTAACTTCTTTTGCCTGAAGAATGTGAGCAAACTTCCGTGGACCCATTAAAGTTGTCAACAAGTTCTACTTGGATGAACTGGCATTCATGGAAGCAGCAGTTAAGAAATGAATGTAAGCATCGGGGAAATCAGCGGCAGAAGAACTCTTTCAATTTTTAAAAACCAAAGTATCATTTTGAGTATGAGGTGACTAGCAAGATCCAAGCATAGTCTTTCTAATTGCTGCATAGTGATATGGAAGTTGGATGGTGCCACACATTGACATGGAAGAAGAAAGAAGAGCTGATGCAGACACACTGTGGTGCTGACAAAGGTTCCTGAATCATCTCCTGAGTACAGAAGATTGAACAAAGCAGTCTTGAAAGAAATACGACCAGAGCGCTCTTTAGAAGAGGGGATGGTGAGACTCCGGCTCATTTACTTTGGACATAACATAAGGAAAGACCCATCATAAGATAAAAAGCATGTTTGGTAAAGTAGAGGTGAGCAGAAATAAGGAAAATCCCCAATGAGAGGGATTATCACAACAGCCACAAGCAATGCACTGAGACCTAGCAATGACCTGGAAGATGGCATAGGACTGGACTGGGCAATGTTTCATTCTGCTATACATTCAGTTACTTTGAGTTGCAGGTGACTGGAAGTCAACGAACAACACGTGTTTAATTAATCGAGAAACCTATAAAGAGTAGAAAACAAGCATATGCTACAGTAGGACTATCTGTTCACAATAACAGTTTCCTAAAAGTACTAGAAATACCTTGTTACTCAGAAAATATTTCTATTCATTTAAAAGCACTTGTCATTGGTAGCATATTACTTAGGTCTAAAGTATCTTAAGCTAAGATGGGCAAACATTACTGTGATACATAGATAAACAAGTTAAAAACTTTGAACAGGATGAAAGCTACATAAAAATATACCCAAAAAATCAACAGTTAAACCACATGATGCATGCCTTGCTCTTGGGCTTTCCTTAAACCTCACTGCCTTGTTTCTGACATTTTGTTTTCTCTATTTTTCTATTATTTTTATTCGATTATTTTCTAGGCTTTTTTTTTCTGAGAGAGAGGTGAACACAAAAAATGAACCACCCAGAACCACCCCCCTCCAGAACTCAAAAACTCGCTAACTCCTCCCCATCCAGAACACACTACGGACATTTCTAGTGAGAACCATAGCATGCATCGTTATTCTTAGTTGACATCTACTAGGCTGAGAAGTGTCGGACCCAAGTGATTTTCTTTCGGCTCATATGCATGTGAGAGTTGGACGAGGAACAAGGAAGCCTGTATGAGAATCATCTGAATCATGGTGCTGAGAACTACGAAGGTACCACGGACTGCCGAAAGAGCACACAAATCTGTCTTGGAAGAAATACAGCCAGAATGCTGCTTAGAGACAAGGAAAGGGAGACTTCATCTCAAGTACTGTGAACGTATTGTGAGGATGGCACAGGACCAGGCAGTGTCTCGCCCTGCTGTACACAGGGCTGCTGGAGTGGGCACCGACATGGCAGCACCGAACAACAGCAATAAGCTACAACTTTAGGTGACACCATCTACAACAAAGTGTTAACATGACCTGTATCCCCTGAATCATGATTTTCAGTATGCTTGAGCCCACTGTTGCAGCTCTGACTACACAGTGCCTTCCATCCTAGGGTGGTCGGCTTCCAGCACCATTATCAAGCAACGTTCTGTTGTGATTCACAGGGTTTCCATTGCTGATTTTCGGAAGTAGATTGCCCAGCCTTTCTCCTTAGTCTGTCTTAGTCTGCAATCTCTACTGAAGCCTGTCCTGTTGGTACTCGGATCACCAATGATGAATATAACCTACACACAGGATTAGAACATTTAAATAACACAGAAAGGAAGAAAATAAAGGGCAATAAAAAGCTTCCTTAACCTTCTCCTTAAAGAGTACAACTCAAGCATTCCTTGTGACTACATTCAGGAAAGGAACACATTTTCTGAGCCCAGGAGGCTGAAAGAAAAAAAATCTTAGAATCTAGATTCAGTAACCCATTAATATTCACTCTCTTAGAAAAAGAAATAAAAATCCTTCAAGAGTATCATTGACCGATTAAGGATTAAAGTCAGCATTATATAATCATCTTTGGTCAAGAGATTAAAAGAGAAACATTTCTGAATTTTTAAATTTCTTTTACCTATCTAGAAAATGCACCAGTACCTACAAAAGGATTTTTCCCATAGTGTTGCTTAAAACCATTTTAAATATTAACTCCAAGACTTATGGGGTCAATTAATCCAACCCAAAACTTCAATATCGTTTTAAAATCTGTGGTTATGTAATCAGATCTTTACCCTAAGATAAAATGCTTTCTCAATACCCATCTACTATATGTCTGTGTGAGTCTCACTCACAGCAGCACTATGCAAGTGGTATAACCATGCAAACACCCAGATCATTCACTACATAGCACCATTTCACCTGATCTTAGCCAAAGGCGGAGAAGTGATGTACAGCACCATTTCAAAGCACAAAGAATGACACCTTTTTGTACCACCTTTGCATTACATTTTAAAAATTAGAAACTGTTTTTTTAAGCCAAGTTTATACCATACTGATTTTTACCTCTTCATCACATGTAAAATGATGAATAGAAATGTCATTTGATTTTTGACACAGTTTTATTTCTTGCTGGGTGTCCAGTTGTAGAGATGGGTCCCAGTAGGTGCGTTCATAAGCCTGCATGGTCCAGTCCAAGATATCCCAGATGATCAGCTCTCCAACATGGGAGCCAGTGACAAGACTCAAATCTGCAAGGAGTCCACATATGCCTCATTACTGTTTTATTTTGGTTAAAAGGTAAGAACAAGTATAATGCCTAATAGTAATGCTCAATAAATTCTCTTTTAATTAAGACCAGAGATTAAGAAAACAGAGTCAAAAGACTACAAATAATTATAGACCTGCACATACTTAGTTACCTTGTATACAACAATTATTCTACTTCAATTCATTAAGGAAAGAACCACCACGTATTGGAACATTTGATTAACTCTTTGGAGAATAAAAACCTCCTGTCCCTCTCAAAATGAGTTTCAAATAGATTTATACATTTAAGAGACATTACTTTTCTTTTAAGAAATTAAGAGAGGAATTCTTGTGTAAACATGGAATGGAAAAAAGCTTTAAAGAAGGTGGGATAGAGAAGCAATTCTGAATTAATATTGTGCTGGGGAAAAAGTAACCAAAAAGTATAGGGAAGCTTGCCACTTAGATGTCAGAAAAAGTTTATTATTATTAATTCATGAGTTCCTATAAATAAAGAAGAACAAGATAAATAACCCATCAGAAAAAAATGGGGAAAAGACCTTAACAGGCAAAACAAGAAATATAAATGGTCAGTAAGCATGTGAAAAGATGATGAACTCTATTAATAATCTTAAAATATATAAATAGTATTTTACCACTTATTAACTCGCAAATTGGAAGAAATAAAACAAAATACCGACTACAGGCAAAAGTATATAGAATAAGCCCTCTGATGTAATGCAAATATCCTACTATAAATTGGTATAATCTTTCCACAGTTCATTTGGTATTACTCATGAAAACATTTAAAAAGTGAAAAACATTGATTGTACTTCTAGAAATTTAACCTGAGGAAAGTACATAAAAGATACATTAGCTATGTGAATGGATTCTGAATTTGCACTTCACCATTCCTAACCTAAGAGTAGTTAGTTCTTAGGATGCAGCCCTTCTCCATACTTACCTCATTGGAGCATTGAGAACATGAGTGCTATGGCAAAGCATGGAAGAAATCAGATGGTGCCCATCTATCAGAAAGAATAATGGAGTCTTGTCTTAAAACAAGCAGCCTCTGAGCATCGTGTCACTAAGTCCACAGCCTGTGTGATCCCAGGATTGTAAACAATAAAATTCAAGAACAGATGAGGAAACTGTATTAGAGCTTGAATTCGCGCACCCAGTTGACAGAAGGCTGTGGTGGGCTGCTCTCTCTCTACATAAGTCTCTTTACTCTATGTATTTTAGTGTTGCAGGCTTTGCTTCGTGGAAATCCCAGCCTAGCACACAAGGCTACCATGCCTATCTTAGAAAACCCCCTGCTCACATACTTTGATCTCTTTGGTAAACTTGATGATTACTATCCACATTTATGGAAATTCTATGTTGAATTCTAGGTTGTCCTAGAGCAATCACATTGAGAACACTCTTCCCCTGTGAGGTATAAAGTTAGCAATGGCCATTTTTACTCATAACGGGTGACTGCACAGAAGCACGCTGAGAATGGCCCTAACTGCTTAAGACAGCCACTTCAGGATCTGGAAAAGGATGCCAGTTCTGCCTAGATAAAAGACTGATCTGGTGAGAAGTCATTTTCAGATTTTACCAGACTTTACTCATGAATGATTTCCAAAATATACTTCTGTATTATTTACAAACTATAGCGTAATTTTATAATGGAGTTTACAAAGTAAAAACTACGTCTGATTGTTATAACTTCAACAATATTTTTTTTGTTTTAGCTCCCCCCTTCCTCTTTTTATTATCATTTTTTAATTGCCTTAAGAAGCTGGCAAGGAAACTTTTGAACAAAGTTTTATTAGCTAAACATTTACAAGCCTCTGTCCACATCACAGAAAAAGAGGTGTCATGGTATATCCCTAGCACGTTCATTTAAGTAGCCAGGCTGGTTCAATGAGCTCAGTGCTTCACAGCTAACACAAGACAAAGCATAATCACTGTAATGCGCCAGAACATTACTGTGCTTTTCTCAGCAGCACCAGGAACTGGGTCTTCTAACTTAGTGTCATCAAGGAGGGTGAAGAAAGCTCCACAGACAGGAAGTCATCTTTTGTGGCTAGATAAAAGAACTCCACAGAGAAAAACAAAGACACCCTCCCAAGCAGTTACTTCCATCAGCAAAGAAATCTGGCCATTACAAAGACTTGTAGATGATTTTCACAAAAAGATGGCTATTAAACAGGAGGACTTTGAGCGAGGAAGAGATACTCTTACAAATATTTCTTAATATGACTGAAAATGTACACAAATGGAGACCGAGTATTGCCTGTGCCCCTCCCCTCGTGTTTGTACAAAGCATTGCTCAGAAAGCAGCAGCATAGCTGTCAGGTAGCTATCTGGCTGGTATCGTTCAGTCTTCCAACTGTTATCATATTCACAACGCTTCTTCTTACAGCCTCCTCCTCTCCAGACTATTACACTCAAGCCACCCAGGGGTCCTTTAATCTGACCTCTGAACAAAATCACCCAGCAGAATCCAATTTAAGTAAACTACCTCAATCCCAAGTTTTTGTAGTTTGTGACCATATTTTGCCATCTAAAGTGAGACTTAGCTCACAGAAGATACTGAAAAAAATCATTTCTGAAACTAAATAGAAAATCTAACAACTCAAAATCAACAACATAAAAAGGGGCAGGGAATACCCACTTCCTGCAGACCTTTCGGTTGGTGCTACTCTCACAACGTTCTCAGTCATGATTACAATCGAATCCTGCTCATTCTACCAAGTGTGCTAACTTGCTGTTTGGGTCCTATACTGTGTGGTAGGTAAAACAAAAGGACACGCTTGTTCCTAATCTCTACAAAATAAGAGACTAGCAAGAATCATTTTCCAGGGACGACGAATAGGCCATGAAACATTAGTATTGATACCCCACAACAATCATTCTATGGCTATTAATTTCCGACAGATAATCACGCTCCCTTCCATCTTCTCTCTTCTCTGCCCTATTCTTCTCTTTCTGCCTAAACCTTAGATCTATCAAAGCGATCAATGAAATTTGCTGAGCTCCACTGACTTAAATCTCAAAGTTAAAAAAAAAGTCAAATCCTATTAATTGAAGGCATTATTTTAATTGGAGTATGTCTTGAGTTACAGAAAAAAAGCCTAAAGTTCAGAATTGGTTATATTAATAAATGCATAATTTTGTAAAATATATATTGTGGTAGTAACGTAATCTGGTGTCAATTTGGGAAGATTACAAGTGAGGAGGTGGAGTCTTGTCTGTCAATCAAGATATAACCAATGAGGCCTCTGTGTGGGCATGGCCATCTCCTGAGAATTCTGGGAACTCCTGTATTTCCTCCTTGGAGGCAGGAGACACTACTCTCTCAGCTCACTCCCCGAGAGACGCTCTACTGATAAGACACATGGTGCTATGCCCTGGGAGCTGGAGAAGCCATATGGAACTACCCTGATGCAACCAGATTCTGGAGACAGAAGCCGCATAGAGACCCCTTCCAGTGCTGAGAAGCTTATAACACTACTGAATCCACACGACTTCCAACCCACTAGCCTGTGATCCTCCTGCATTCATCATTTCATGTATTTCATGAGCCTGAAGAGGACTTTATAGATTGGTTTCGGACATATGGGCTAATATCAGACTTATCAACTTGATCTGGACTGGGCTAGGATTCAATTACTCTTGTATATAAACCTCTTCCTTGTTCACATGTGTCTCTATGAATTTGTTGCTCTAGTCTACCTGGACTAACACATTATGGTACCAGGAGTGGGGTCTCTCAGCAACACATCATGGCACCTTGGGAGAGAGGTATTAGAGAAACAAATCATAAATATGCAGAGAGGATGCTTGTTTGACCTCTCCCTCATGGCAGTGTTTCTTCCTTGGCTAGCCAGAAGTCAGATATGGCCAGGCAGTTTACAGGGCTGTTTTCTGGAAAGATTTTTGGAAGTTAAAAGTCTTCATTATTTTGTTTGGTTGTAGTTTTTGGTTATTCCTGTGTGAAATGGCAAAAATGAATGTGATAAATGTATATTTTGAGCTCAGGTGTAGAAATCACCGTTTGACTGTCTCAGAAACCATGCTGCTTAAGGAAAATGGCTGACAGAAAGCCTGGCTCTGGCTTGATGCTCCCAAGAGGTCTAATCCCTTATTTTTAGATACACAGAATAGTTTAGATAAGGATTAAGATTAAGCTAAATAAGGATTGAACTTTACTGTTTTAAGAATTGAGCTTAGTATCTGATTCTACTTACTTTGTTTATACTGATTTCATCTGCTTATTATTGATATAATGATTGACAGAAATGTTTATTGAGAAGTATGAAAATAGAGAGCTTATAAGCCCACTTGTCTTCAACCATTAAAGTTGAACCCTTAAATAAGTTCAGGAAAACGCCTGCAAATAAGCCCCACCCAGTGTTTTGGAGTACTCGGGACATTTGCATTCCAAGAGCTGTTGACAGATTGAAGAAAAAGGAATTCTGACTTTGTGAAGTTTGAACTGTAGTGGTTTTTGTCAGAAGCTGAAAAAATCTGGAACCATGAATAAAACTCCTCTCTAGGACTGAATGTTAAAGGAAGCCTGTGGGCAGGCTGAAATGCTTGCTAGGTGACCACCTGGAACCACTTGTTGAGTGGAAGTGGGAGAATTGCAGCAATAAAGAGACGGGTTGCGTCTGTCCACTAACATCCATGGACTTGGTTTACAGGAACTAGAGGTTGACTGGTCTGAAGTTAATGACCTAGCACAAGGGGCTAGGGTTGTTGAGAATGTTTGATGGGGCTATGGTCTAAAGGCAAGGCAACCAATGGGCACCCTGGTGAGGCTAAGTGAGGCCGCCCGCATTGAGTTGACCAGAACCTGACTAGATGAAGAGAAGATATTTGTGAACTGGTACATATTGCTCCAGACTTTATGGATAGCCTGTCCTGATTTGACTTTGTTTATGGATGCAGATCTCAAAAAGTTCCAACTGGAATGAAGATTCTTCATATCAAAGAATATAACTATCTCCTCATAGCACTGGGTTGATGTTAAGTGGGCAGTATAGGTGGGGGAATATATTCATAGGATTATAGGATTAAGGTGTAGGTGTTACACTAAACTGCAATTGTTATGCATAGGATATTTTTTTTGCTTTGTTTGCCTATAAAATGTTATGTTTAAATGAGGATGGCACATATTGAATTATATGCATTTTAGTTTTATCCTGTTGGGTACAGATATGATTTTATTATTGTTTGTTTGAAAATTATATATGGCTAAAAAGTTATGTGAAAGTGTCAAATTGACAAGGGGGGGTCTGTGGTAGTTGCATAATCTGGTACACATAATAAACATATATACATAAATAGTCATATATACACAATAAACTTACCATTGACATTTACCAATGAGAGAATATTATCTTGATGATCAAGAAGGCGCTTAACTTCAAGAATATTCCATTCTAGTGATTCTTCTGTGGGTGCTACCAATCTGAAAATTACTAAATGAAGAGACAGGTAAAATTTCAATAAATTTCATAAATAATAATACTATTTCTGCTTAAAAAGCAAGTATTTCACAGAAATTTTCCATAGTATTGAAAAACCTATATTCTAAAAAAAAACTTTACTCATACTACTTGAAAGTAATTTTATCAAATGCGTAAGACGCATGAAATGATCTATGGAAACCCAAAGTGTGTGTCTATAAAATGTTCTTACTTATTGACACTTCCAAACTCAGTACCAACCATCGAAGCCCCACGTCTCTAGGGGTGCTTCAAGCCTTGCCTTCCCTGTACTACTCAGGTCTTCCTAGGCAGTGATGGGTCCACGTTTCTGAACCATCTCCATTGTCAACTTTCTCTAATAAGGTTTTCATCCCCAGCAGAACGACAGGTTTCATGTTTCCGGGCCAACAATATTGCTACAAAATATTCATAAACTATAAATTATATTTAACGTCAGCTCAGTGTAAACGTACAGCCCAAGTGTTCCGTAGAGGCAAGGATGGCGATACTTCATCTTAACATACTTTGGACGTGTTATCAGGAAAGACCAGTTACAGAGTAGGACATCGTGTCTGTTAAGACACGGGGCAGTGACAAAGAGGAAGGCGCTCAAAGAGATGGACTGACACAATGGCTACAAAGGGCTCAAGCACAGGAGCAATTTTGCGGATGATGTAAGACTGGGCAATGTTTCCTTCTGTTGTGCGTATGGTCCTTATGGGTAGGCAGACTCCATGGTAGTTAACAACAACAGGGAAAACTTCAGCAGTAGCTTATTTCTTTCTTTCAGTACTTTCTAGACATTTAGGCATCCACTATGAAATTATAAATTCTCTGAGAAAAAAGACTGTTCCTTAAAGTTATTAAATACATATTTAATGTGTTGCCTATCTCTAATCTAATTTTATTTAAAATATTATAAAGTAGTATATTTATTTAAATTAGTATCAGTCTTAATTTTCACAGAGAAAACTCAAAATAAAATTAACTGAAATGAATCAGCAATCATTACTAAACCTCCACTATGTTCCAAGAACCAGAGATGTAAAGTGTGAATAAAGCCCACTCTATCTTAATCAGTGTATTAAGTGTTGCAATAAATCTCTGTATAAAGTGTTGTGGAAGCACAAAAATCATGTCTGACAGATGGGAAGGTCTCAGAAGTCATTGTCTTTTCCAACTGTTGGCTAATTACTAGTTTCTCTTCTTTCTCACACCCGTCTCCGGATAGAAGGTCCTGCTCTCCTTCTCTAGATCGAGACAATATCTTACCAGCTCACAAATCTCTAGCAAACTTATTTAATTCCGGCACTCACTCACGTTCAAACTGTGACTATCAGAAAAACAAAGTCTTGTAATACAAGAGAGAATGCTTCCTGATAACTAGCTAAATGGTTGTGTGAAAACTCTATTTTATTGGAATAATACTAACAAAAAAGAATTTTGGAATAATAAGAAATACACTGTTTAATTAAAAAATGGAGATACTCATACTAATGTGAAATACTGACAAGAAAAAACAAAACCTACAAAGTACTAGTGATAATGTACAACTGGTCAGTCAGTCTATAAATCTAGTCTCTATAAGGGAGTGTTCACAAGGCCACTTTCATCATAACTTCAAGGAAACCAAAAATTAATTGGATTAAAGAGCAGAAGAGGAGTAAAAGCCACTTTGAGGGAAGGGTTATGGAAAAAGTGCCCGCTTTTTAACCAAGACGCAGTCTCAGGGCCAATATCATCCCTGTGAGTCAAGTCCCACAGTCATTGCAGCTGGTGCACAAAGAGACCATCATTTCCCATCGGAAGGGATCCTCATGTACAAAAAGAGAAACGTTGACATGAAATATTTACAACCAAGTGCCATAGATAGAAGTTTAGTTGTTCAAACAGAAAAGATTCCACTTATAAGTACAAAATTTATTTAATGAAAAATGCCATTATTGTAGTTTTACATACAACCTACCCAGGTAAAATATGTGCACAAACATGTTAAAGAGCTCAGCACATAGGAAACTAGGTGTAGTTTACCAAAACATGGATACTATACAGGTTATTTGTATGAAGATATGGTATCTCTTTATTCTAGGATAAAACTAAGTAAAAAGTATAACCTGATTTTTAAGAACGCTTTACATTAAAAAAATTATTTCTGAATTAGACTAATTTCTATTCTTTTTATATGATAGAACTTCCATTAAAGCAATGACCTTGTACTACTATTCCAAAGAATTCAATACTTTATTTATTTACTCATTCAATAAGCATCTGCTGTTAGCGTAAAGATAAAATTAAAATTCTATTGCTAGCAGCTTTCATTCAGAAGAGAAGCTTGTGGAGATGAATGTGTTAGCTTAATTAATGTTCTCCATTTTAACTCTCTATTTTCTAATATCCATTGCAATGTCTACACAGAACTCACAGAAAAAAAAATCATGAGGGAATGATTTGTTAAGGAAATTAACCGAAAAGGAAAAAAGAAAAAAAAAAAACCTCAAAGGGAAGAACACAATCAGCCTCTTAAACTGAAAATTCTCAAGAAAAAAAATTCAAGCCTTGGTTGGCAATCTTGAAATATTCTATAGGAAAAATACTGAATTATGCAGGAGAAGGAATACACAGAGACATTGTACTGAAAAGAACTAGTGGACACTCAACCATTTCTAGAGGGAGCATATGAGCAAGAACCAATGATACTGATGAAAGAAGCTCAAGCTGCACTGAAGGCATTATCCAAAAGCAAGTCACCAGGGATTGATGAAATATCAATTGAAATCTTTCAAAAAGCTGATGAAGCACTGGAAGTACTTATCCATTGCGGTAGTTACATAATCTATTGTCAACGTGAGACTATTAAGAGTGAAGGGGCAGAGTTTAGCCTGTCAATCAAGTCACAGCTTCATGACCTCATTTGGAGGCACTAAGAAGAGAAATGGCTCACTGGAGGTAGGAGATACACACTCTCCCTGCAAGACATTCCTGCTAAAAAGTCAAATGGAGCTACACTGATAGAGCTAGAGCCCTGGAGCTGGAGGAGCCACGTGGAGACCCACACCAGTGCTGAAATGCTTCTACCACCATTGGATTCACAAGACGTTCCACCCACTGGCCTGTGATCTTCCTGCATCCAGCATCATTGCATATGTTGCGTGAATGTGAAGAGGAATTTATAGATTGGTATTGGACATATGGGCAAATATCGGAACTTATCAACTTGATCTAGTCTGAACTGGGATGTTTTCTCAATATTCAATTGCTCTTGTATATAAAGCTCTTTCTTATACATATGAGTGTCTATGGATTTGTTTCTCTAGTCAACCTAGACTAACACACTTGTTATAATAGGATATTTGGAAGACAGAGACTTGGCAAACTGACTAGAAGAGATCCCTATGTGTGCCCATTCCAAAGAAAGGTGATCCAACAGAATGCTAACTATAGAACAATATCAATGATATCACATGCAAGTAAAATGTTGCTAAAATCATCCAACAGAGGAAAGCGGTACATTGTCAGGAAGTTGCTAGAGGTTCAGGCCAGACTCAGAAGAGAGCTTGGAACAAGGGATATCATTGCTTATGATAGATGGATCTAGTCTCAAAGCACAAAATAAGAGAGATGTTTACTTGTGTTTCATTCACTATGCCAAGGCATTTGATTCTGTGGGTCATAAGAAACTATGATAATCTTGAGAAGAATGGGAATTACAAAACACTTCATTATACTCATGTGGAACTTGTACATGGATCAAGAGTCAGTTGTGTGAACAGAACAAGGGAATACTGCATAGTTTAGAATCAGGAGCAAATCATCAGATAAGCTGGCTTATTTGCAGAAGAACATGGCATCAGGATCGGAGGAACACGGCATCTGCATATCCTTAACAATCTGGATATGCAGATGACATAACCTTAATTGTTGAAAGCCAGGAGGACTTGAAGTACTTGCTAATGAAGATCAGAGATCGCACGCAGCCTTAAGTAAGGATTACAATTCTACGTCAGGAAGACCAAAATCCTCACAACATCATGATAAATGGAAAAAAGGTTGAAGTTGTCCAGCTTTGTTTTACTTGGATCCACAATCAATGCTCATGAAAGCAGCAATCAAGAGATCAAAAGACATGTTGCATTGGGTAAATATGCTGCCCAAGACCTCTTTAGAGTATTGAAAAGCAAGGATGATACTTCGAAGACTAAGGTGTGCCTCGCTCAAGCCATGGTATTTTCAATGACCTCGTATGCATGTGGAAGTTGGACTCTGAATAAGGAAGACTGAAGAATAGATGCATTTGCATTGTGGTGCTGGAGAAGAATATTGAAAGTACCATGGATTGCCAAAAGGAGAAATGATTTTTTTTTTCTTGGAAAAAATATGGGCAGAGTGTTCCCTGGAGGCAAAGAAGGTGACACTTTGTCTTACATGCTTTGGACATGTTTTCAGGAGGGTCCAGTCCCTGGAGAAAGTCATCATGCTTGGTAAAGCAGAAGGGGAGCCCCAAACAGGAAAGCCCTCAAAGAGATGGACTGACACCATGGCTGCAAAATGGGCTTGGGCATAGAAACAACTGTGAGGACTGTGCTTAGTTGTGTTGTGCATGTAGTTGCCATAAGTTGAAACAGACTTGATGGCACGTAGCAAAAAATAACAGGGAAGTTAGCAAGTTGCAATGCCAGTGAGAAATGTTCAGCATAATTGTTTATCAGGACATATTACAAACATCTTTCACGTCTGCTAATAAGTGCCCATGGGCCTACCACTCCACTGTTAGCCTCACCAAAGATAGGGAACAAAAAATAAATAAAAAAATATTATTTTATAGTGGTAAATGTAATGATATATATGTTTGCAGGCTACTAGAAGGAAAAGTAATACGGGACCTGAACTCTTAAAGGAGCAGGAGGAATCAAACCAAGAAAACAATGAGGGGTGTGTTAGTCTGGGTACTTTGGAGAAACAAACCCACAGCAACTCATGTATAAGAGAGAGTTTTATGTAAAGAAAATGTGCATCACGAAAACATCCCAACCCAATGCTGTCCAAGCCCACAAGTCCAACATTAACCCATTAACCCAACACCAGTCCACAAAGTCCTCCACCTCACAAAACAGAGGCAATGATGCCGACTGCAGGAGGAAAGCTGAGTCAGTGTACGAATAAGCATCTCAGCACTAGCAGGGGTCTCCACACAGCTGCTCCAGCACCCAGGGCTGCATCGGGATAGGTCCATGTGGCTTCTCCTTGGGGATGTCTTGTAGGAAGTCAATCTTGCAAGCTGAAGCAGGGAACTGCTAAGGCAGCTGCACCCTGGTGCGACCATCACAAAGCAAGAGACCCGAGAACTAGAAAGACGAGGCTCACCACCCATTTACCCCTTCGCTTTTCAACCAGCCCCACATGTGATTATCGGCCAGGCTGGCACAATTAACTAACTCAAGGGGGATATCCCAGGTACAGGGTAACAACATAAAAGAAAGCACTAAACTGAGAAACCCCTCAGGTATAATAGTATCAAGCAAGTCAATGTTGATGAAATAAGCAATACAGGACTCAAGGAATAAGAGGAAGCTAATAGAAGGCGGAATTAAAAAACCGAAAGGGAAGCACATACTCAGCCTATCTCAAGCTGAAAGAACTGGAGGAAACATTCAAGTCTTGAGTTTTGATAATGCATGAAGCAGGAAGTAGCAAACGAAGATGGGAAGAACTCACCCAGTCATTGGACTGGGAAAAACTAGTCACCATGCAAGCTTCAAAAGCGGAACAAACGCTGAAGAACAGATGGCATTGGAGGAAGGAGGCCATGCTGCATGGAAGGCATTCGCAGAAACAAGACTCAAACAGGGACATCTTGCGGCAGTGCTGGGAGTGCGCGCCAGCGTATGCCAAGAAATAGGGAAAACAATGGTCTGGTTACCTGACTGGAAAGGATACGTATTTATGCTCATCCCAAGAAAGGTGATAAAATAGAATGTGGAAATTATTGAACAATATCATCAGTATCACATGCAATTAAAATTTGTAATATAATTCAGAATAGTCGCAGCAAAAAAACAACAAGAATTTGCTAAGAAGTACAGCTGGAGTCGGCAGAGACCATAGCCCGAGGGATGTCACTACGGATGCCAGATAGATCTTGACTGAGCGCAGAGAATATCAGAAAGACATTTACCTGGGTTTTATTGACTATGCAAAGGCTTTGACTGTGTGAATCATAGCAAGTCATGGATAACACTGTCAAGAATGAGAATTCCAGAATAATTCATTTTGTTATGTGGAACCTGTACATAGCCCAAGAGGTAGTCATTCAAGCAGAATAAGGGGATACTGCATGGTTTCAAATCAGTAAAGAAGTACATCAGGGTTCTGTCCTTTTCTGATCTTATGCTGAGCAAATAATATGCAAAGCTGGACTTCATGAAGAAGAACATGGAATCAGGGTTGTACGAAGACTCAACAATCTGGAATAAGAAGATGACATCACCTTGCTCACAGAAAATGAAGACAGACAGGAAGAATTTGCTGATAAAGATCAAAGCCTAGATCCTAAAATGATTACACACCAATGTAAAGAAAACAAAAATCCTCACAATTGGACCAATAGACAACAACATAATAAAGGCTGAAATTGTCAAGGATTACCTTTCACTTGTATCAATGATTATGAAAGTAGCAATCAAGATATCAAATAATGTATTTCACTGGGCAGATCTGCTATACAAAACCTCTTTAAAGTACTACTAGGCAAGGACATCATGGTGAGGATTAAGATGCACCTGGCCCAAACCGTGGGATTTCCAGCCACCTCATAAGCCTGTGAAAGCTGGACAATGTCTAGGAAGATGAGGGAAGAATTGATGCCATTGAGTTACAGTGTTAAGAGAAAAATATTAAAAGTATCATGGATTGCCCAAGGAACAAACAAATCTATCTTGAAGGCAGTATAGGCAGAATGCTCCTCTGATGTGAGGATGACAAGTCTTTATCTCACGTGCTCTGCAGTTGCTGTCAGGAGAGACCAGTCCTTGGAAAAGTACAGTGACAGTAAAAGAGCGCGTCAAGGACATGGACACAGTACCAATGACCAGACAATGCTTCATCCAATGTGCATGGGGTTGCTATGGGTCTGAGCCAACTTGTCAGCCCCAAACAATGGAGGCTGGCCCTCAATTGTTAAAATGTGTGCACTTTAACTTTAGGACACTGGTGATTTTACATAGTTCTAGAGCAAGGTTTCATATACCTGGGAGAAAAGCGGCTAACATTAAGGGCCCAAGAGGCTTTTTATATAACTAAATGTATCCACTTCAACATCTTGCTTGTCCAAGGTTTTTCATATAACCAAATGTATCTACTTCACCATCTTACTTGTTCTTTGTTAAAAATATCATTTTTACAAAATAAAGGTGATGGTAGTTCACTTAATTTTTTTAATTGCTGTTGTCAGGTGCCAGAGTTGGTTCTGACTAGCGGTGGGATTCAGCCGGTTCACACTGATTCAGCAGAATTGATGCCTAATTTTTTGTTGTGTTCAGCAAACCAGTTGTTAAAATAGCACTTGTTATCAGGGTTCTCTCTAAGGTGTCTGGGAAGATGCAGAATGTGGGTATCACAAATTTACATTATTCTTCTCTTATATTCATCTGTCCAATAATGTACTTTAAGTGCCCATAGTAATGGTCATTCCATCCATAGTGATAAAAAAACTAGAACTATGCTTGTAATATTCATTATATATTATATATGAATGAAATAACACATATTTATTCCTTTGCATTTGTTACTTCAGTAAACAAACATATAACATGAAGAGAAAAAGTGGGGGAAAAAATCAGAGGGTGACATGCAGTAGTCCTCAAAGTGTGGTCCCTGAACTAGTAGCCTTACCATCAACTGATAACTTATTAGATTTATTCTATAATTATTTGGCTTTATTCTATAACTACTGGATTCTTGGGGCTGGCCTGGTAATCTGTGTTTTAGTAAGTCTTTCGGGTTCTAATGCCCAATAGAATTTCAGAACCACTAATTGAAAGGAAAATCTGTAAAACAAAGTAATTGATCAAATATGAGAAAATAGGCTGGAAGAAAGAAGATTTCTTCTAAGCTGCAGTGGTGGACACAAGAAAACTGCATTTGTAAAGTGAAAAGGTGAAAAGAAAACTAAATACAAAAGTATATATTTAGAAACTGCTTATGGAAAGAAAAGATAAAGCACAGGACCTAAAAAATTACTCCTCAGACATGACTTCATATGGAAAGGTCAATTGAATAAAGAGAAACAGGGCTGCAGATCAGTGGAGCCTGCAGTTAGAAATTAGCAGAGGGTGAACAATTACCCTTGTCCCACAGGCAGGCATTTGCAACCTGCCAACTGTCTGAGCACATCTGAAGGGAGGGCTCTAGAAAAAGCACCAGCAATAGAAAACCTCCCTTGGCTGCATTAGAAAAGAGAAAGCAGCTTACAAGAAGGATGGTTCATTTTCTCACTTCTCAACATCCAAATTCCATTCATAAGGCACAGAACACAAACTGCTTCCTACAGAACCTGGCTTACCTCACTTCTCTGAGGAAAATGGCAGGAGCCTCCATTACACCCCCACCCCCCACCACCCCGACACACACAAAATGAGGCCCATTCTGGCTTCTGGAGGCAGGAAGCCCCCAGTTCCTGGTTTAGAGACTTCCTAAATAATCCTCTTCAAACCTCCCAAAGTTTTAGTTTGTAGAATGTTGATTATTCTATTTTATGTGGTTAAATTTTGCTAATTTTATGATTGTGGATCAGCAAAGGAAAGGAATGTAGGTTAAAGATGGCCCTGCTGGTACCAGAGGAATCGGGTAGTCAGATCACAGCTTATGTTACATCAAGTGTACTCCACCTAATCCTCACTTATCAACTCTCCCATTAGCCAACATTTCACGTTCCTGACCACAGAACATAAACCACATATATCTAGCAATAGGAGGTACATGGTAAGAGGAACACTGTCTGGGATGGTTAAGGTTATGTGTCAGTTCTGCTGAGCCATTATTGTCAGTGGCTTGGCAGTCATGTGATAATATCATTTGGCAACAATATAAAGATGCAATTTTAAAATTATAGAATGATAGAATCTGGCAGTTATACAATGATGAGTTCTCTGCATTTCTACTGCACATTATGCTGATTTCCCCCCAATGGCCTTGTCTCTGGAATCAATAATGAGCAGTGGGTGTACCAAACCGCCCTGACATCCTGATATTCTAGTCTCCATATTATCCCAACAATCCCAGGAGGCTAGACTGAGTTAGGGGCAGATTATCCCTTAAATATAAAACTCGTCAGTCTAGTTGATAATTATACAAGTCTAGTTCAAATTTTAAAGAGAAAAAAAAAATCATACTCACTCAGTTCTTTGCCAATTGCAGCTACAACACAGTTTTTAGGTATTTCAATCAAAGCACTGATCCCTTCAACAATATAGAAAGCAATGATTTACTGACTGATCACACACAAAACTTTCTTAGTTTTATATTAATATTTATCATAAAGCAAATGATAACAATAAAGTACAAAGAATGTGTGCCTACCACACATGTATTTTTCCTTTCTTCCTTATACAAGAAAAATGATGTTGTCAAAATTAGGTTTGAATCGCTTTAATAATCATAGGATTAGGATTATGTCCTCTGAACATTGTTACTATTGTAATAAAGTAGTACATTCATCAAACTTATTAATCAAGGATCCTTTAAGATAATCACCATCACTCATTTATGATACCAGCTTAATCAGAGATATTGTCTCCAGCTATATAGAGTCTTCCTTAATGTAAAGTTAAGATGCCTGACAACTTGCACTACATGAGCTAGCCAATAATCAATACATTTCTAGAAGTCCTTATATTACTGAAATAATCAGACTCCACATTTCACTTATTATAGAGACCTGTGCATCATTTTGTAACTGAATCATGAAATATGTTTAGGGTAACCATAACTTCTATAAAATGTTACAATTACTACTTTTGTCAGAAAAACTACAGTTTTGATATCTTAGACTCAATCATTCTGTGTTGGAAAAAACTTTATTAAGCTACTGAAGTTATGAGAAATGCAAGATGCATGAATCTATAAAGACAATAACTAGATTAAGGGTTCCTGGGGGAAATGAATCAGGGGAGGTGTGGGGGGGGCAGCAAGGCAGGGGTAATGGAGAGTTACTAACAAAGAGTACAAGAGTACAAGCAGAAAGAAAATGTTTTGAAAAGGATGATGGCAACATACGTACAAATGTGCTTGACACAATGAATGGATGGATTGATATCAGAGCTGTAAGAGCCCCCCAATAAAAGGATTTTTTTAAAAAGAGTACAAGAAGGAAGAAAATATTTTGAAACTGATTGTGGTAGCTAATGTACAATGCTCCTTGATACAACTGAATTATTGAATTGTATGATGTCTGGATTATGGCCTAATAAAATTATTTAAAAATAATACTAATAAAATAAAGCTTTAAAAACTATTAAAGTTAACTTTTCCATGAAGTTTTAAAGTCCTTTCTGGTGGCATAATGGTTATAAGTTGTGCTACTAACTGCGAGGTCATCAGTTTGAAACCACAGTCAGAGCCTCAGCAGAAAGACTGGCCTTTCTAGTCCATAAGAGTTAGTCTCGGGGCCAGTCAGGGTGCAGTATAGCACCAATGAAACATACGGCTTTCCTCTAATTCTTTAATGGCTCCTCTACCCCCAGCCCCACTATCATGACCCTAATCCTCTTACAAATCTGGCTAAACCAGAGTATATAGATGGGTACAGATAAGAGCTGGAAACACAGGGAATCCAGGGCAGATAAACCCCTAGGGACCAATATTGAGAGTAGTGATGCCAGGAGGGTAAGGGAAAGCGGGAAGGGGTGGGGAGGAGAAAGGGGGAACCTATCACAATGATCTACCTTATAACCCTCTCCCAGGGGGATGGACAACAGAAAAGTAGGTAAAGGGAGACATGAAAAAATAATAAGAATGTATCAATTACCAAGGGTTCATAAGGGAGGGAGGGGAGGGTAAGGGAAAAATGCGGAGCTGATACCAAGGGCTCAAGTAGAAAGAAAATGTTTTGAAAATGATGATGGCAACAAATGTACAAATGTGCTTGACACAATGGGTGGATGGATGGATGGTGATAAGAGTTGTATGAGTCCCCAGTAAAATGATTTTTTTTAAAAAGAAGTTAGTCTCAGAAACCCACAGGGGCAATTCTACACGTCCTAGAGGTCATGATGAGTGGACATCAACTCAAAGATGGTGAGGTTCTGGTTGGTGTCATATATAAAAATTCTCACTTGCTTCTCTTTCCCGCCCATAGAAAGGCTAGTACTACTGTGATTTGAGGAACGTGTCTTGCCATAAACTGTCCCTCTACATAGGCTTGCTTACTGTGCAGGATAGTTTTTAAGTATTCTCCACTCTATGGAAAGGTACAGGAGGAAAAGAGACTTGGTTTCATATATGTTGGCATGTTATCCGAAGAGACCAGCCTCAGGAAAAGGACATGATGCTTGGTAAGGTAGAAGGCCATTGAAAAAGTGGAAGATCATCAAGGAGATGGCTGCAACAATGGGCTCACATACCACAATGCTTGTGAGGATGGTGCAGGAATAGGAGCGTTTCATGGTTCTGTGGTGTGTCGCCCTGCTAAGTGTTGCAACCGACTCAATAGCCCCTCATCACAACCATAAACCAAGCAAGATTAGGAGGCAAATGTTGAAATGAGAAGTTAAATTGTAAATCCCAGGACTGTATGGATTTTCACTATAATAAGTCATAAGTTTTCTGATATTTTATAATATTAACGTAGACATAAACTAGTTCTAACTGTTGTAAACTCGATTCACAGGGCCCTTGATACCTTTAAATGTCAACGATATACATAATAATATTCTATTCCAGAGGCTATTTGATTATTCTAAGAAACCCTAATGTAAAACTTGAAATCAAGGTTAGGTTCGCATTTATATTTATTGTTCTCTTACTCTCAAAATAGAATGCAGTTTATTTTTAAGATCTTTGGTATCTAGAAGTCAAAACTGTTTCTCTATTCAAGCCAAAAACGTGTTAACAGAATTGTGGTAAAATAATATCTTGTTAGTAACTTTCCACAGATATGAACAAGGGCAATTATAAAATGAGGTTATACGGAAGAAATCTAGCCAAAGTTGGACGACTCCACAACAAGGCAGGCAATACTGTGACGTCAGGAAGGTCTGCTTCCAGATGTCTGCATGCTCATCACGTTCAGGAGCACAGCCTAAGAGCATATATGAAACAGTTTTTCTGGCTCGCCTTTAAGAAATTCTGGTCAAAGGGAAGGGAAAGCTGAGCGGGTGGAGGGAACGTCTCTCCTCCCAATTTGGGATAGTATCTATTTTACTCAACCCTTAACCTGACTGAAGAAGTCCGACTACATGTTATCTTCAGAACAGAAAAGATAAATCTCCTATACTGACCTTTGTATCCACAGTAAGTCTCTTTGAAGAGACTTCGTCTTTTTCAAGTCAGTCAATTACGGTACACAAATACCTGGATTTCATTTCTTACCTGTATCAGAAAGGTGACTGGTCTTACACAGGAGCTCTAATTCGCGGTTCCATACACATAGGTCATTCCCACCAGAGAGCCAAACGTCGAGTCTCTGAAGAACTGTTAAGCACTGCAAATGTGATTTAAAATGTCTTATCAATTTTAAAACAGAAAGCATTCATTTATTGCTTTGGCAACTTTTACATATCTCCACAAAATTCTTGGACATTCTTTTCTTTAAAAGGAATTGATTGTGAACTTTACTAAATAACTAACTTCTCAAAACAAAGTCGGCAGAAAGGATAATGGGTCACTCCCAAGACTAGGTTATAAAAGAACTTGGGTTCCTCTACACTCCCTTGAATCGTCCGCTCTGCGTCCTATGGAAAGGGGGCTGAAGGGGAAGGCGCTGAAGCCTCCAAACAACTGGCCAAACCTGTAAGTGAGACCGCTGAAAAACTGATCCTGCGGACGGCAGCAACCCCAAGAAAGACCCTGAGGTAGGCCCACCAAGTTTAACCGCCCTTGGATTCCTGTCCACAAGATGATGTTTACTGATTTAAGCTTCTCAATAAGTTGTTAATAATAAAGACTGCAACCTTCGGTAGGGAGCATAACTCGATGCAAAGACAACAAAATTCCTCACAATTGGACCAATAGCCTTGGTCTTGCACAAAATTCTATCACCCAATCTCTGACGTCATTTCCATTACCAAGGTCATATTTTCCAACTTCTTGGTTAACAACAACCAGGAATTATCAATGCATCCTGATTGCATATTTGAGCAATTTCAGGCTATAAAAGTTGATAAAAGGCTTTAATTTCTTTATCTTTAGCATTAGTAGTTGGTTTGTAAATTGGAATAATAATATTAACTGGTGTTCCTTATAGACATATACATATTAATCTATCACTGACAGCATGGTACTTCAGGATAAATCCTGAAAACTTCTTTCTGAAGCCAATGTGACACCACTCCTCTTAGATTTCCATTCCCAGTACAGTAAACCATATCATCATCTGATTCAAAATAGCCAATACCAATCCATTAGTTCACTAGTACCTAGGATACTAATCTCTAGACATTCTATTTCATTAATTTTTCCCTTGATATAAAATTTTGTTTAAATTATTATATTTAGATAATATTCTCTTTAATAACTCTTCAGTTGTACATTTAGGTTTTCATGTGGCACAAATGGTTTGGGTTTTTTTTATTGTAAATTAGGTGGGGGGTTTACAATTCAGATCATCAACTCTGTATTAACAGTTTAAATCACTCATACCAAACTATCTGTCTGCCAAACTATCTTCTAAAATAAGCACATGAGTTTATATTTTCAACAAAGATATGCCAATTCCACTAATTTCTGTTAACATAGGATCTCACAGAACTCCTTACTATTTTGAAAAAACAAGAAATAACATTATTTCTCATGTTAATGATAAATTATCTGTTAAAGAACCAGTGAGTTTAAGGTATGACCTAAAGTGAGTGCAATGCCATTTGTAACCACTTTTATGTGAAAAAAGATTAAAGCAGAAGTAAATAAATACAATAGCCTATATGCTCCCCTCAACGTAGACTTAGAGGAATCAAATACCTGTAAGTCAAAGAAATAATTTTGTACCTTACAAAGGTTAGTCCATCAATCTTTCTGAAACAAAAACATAATAACCGTAAAAGTTCTTATCTGCACTAAGATTGTACCTTAACAGTGGACTGGAAGGATGATATTCTCTGAACCTGTCTGCCAGCATCACAATCCCACACCTGAATTTAGGTTAAGGAATCATTTCAACATAGAATTTCTATATCTTAATTAGATGATACCTTTTCTAATAAATAAATTTCAAATGTTACATATTTAGTGAGAAAAATCTCTGAATACAGAATAAAAGATACAATGCTTATTATTTAGTGTTACAACCAAAAATATTACGATGATGAGCATCAACTTTGTAGAGCAAACCAATAACTAAATTAAGTTTGAGGTAAATTTTACTACCAAACTATTTGAAAATGTTAAGAGAATAAGCAATCGTAGGTATTAAATCTATAAATGTACTAAACCTTGCAATTGTTCCCATGTCAAAATTTATTTTATTCAAATTTGTCCTCCCTAATCTAATAAACACTGTGCATGATGTATACTGAAAGCTATCATACTTATTAATATTTGCTGAAAGGTCTCTGCAAACTATCTGGCATGATTTATTCCTGTAGTCCTGCTTCGAAGAAGACATTAATAGTGTAAAACGATTACCTGCATCCATATTTAATTTAATTAAAGAACCTCTCATAAAATGTCTAAGGTCAATTTTAGATAAAAACATAATTTTCAAACTTTCAATTTCCTATGGCAAGAAATACATTTTACATCATGGCTCAGAACACACTTTATTTTTCTATTCATTCATACATAAACAAAATAAAAGTAATTTTACAAATTATACAACCTTACTATGTCCGATATATTCCTCTATTTTCAATTATGTTTGATTCCATTTTTAAAATGCAGTTAGATTGTTATGGGAATTAGATTACATATGTATCAAACTGCTGGTACAGAAAAAGTGTTTAGATTATTTTAGTATATGTGCTGCCGAAGCGAGCACAAAAGTGTTTAGATTATTAGGACAATATTTTTTTACCTTAAATTTGTCAAAATGTTAGTATTCTCTCTTAGTATTTTCAATTAAGCTTATTCGAAAATTGAATTATTCGATATTCAGTAACCTGGGTTCTTAAGTCAAACTCTTGACAAAAATTAAACCTTTAGCATTTAATTAAAGTTAATAGCGAAGTCACAAACAGGACAATTTAGAACTCATTTAGTTAAAAAGAACAGCCAACTAGGCAGACTGGAGTTTGTGTGTGTGTGTGTACTTTCAAACCAGAGAAGTAACTGAGCCAGGGAAAGGACTCCAAGCACTCACTCACCAGCAGAATGTCGACCGATCGATGCTGTCCCAGCAAGGACCCCCAGCTGCATACTGCTTAGGTGCTTGGTTGCTGCTCAAAGTTTCAATCCCACCAGTAATGCCCAGAACACAGCTGTGGCCACCTGTTCCTAGGATTCGAGCTTTGGAAACCCTATGAGGCAGTTCTACTCTGTCCTACCAGGGCCACTTATAATCAGAAATACTTTCTTGGTTTGGGTTTGTTTTTAATCATAGTTCTTTATAGTAAATACTAATCTCTCCTAGCAACACTATAGGACAGAGCAGAATTGCACCTGTGGGTTCTGAAGGCTGGATATCTTTATAGGAGCAGAAAAGCTCATCTTTCTCTTGAAAAGTGGCTGGAAGTTTCAAACTGCTGACATTGCCGTTAGTAGCCTAACACATAACCCACTAGGCCACAAGGGCTAATACAAATATGTCAACTTCTATTTTCTTCAAATATTACGCTTATACCTGGGGGGGGGGGCATGGGGGGGGCATTCTTTCATAAAATGGTATTTGACTAGAGAAGCACCGGTAGCTTTCTAACCAAAATACAACTGATTTTCATATCCTTGTTTATATTACACTATACCAAAAACCAAACTCACACCATCAAGTCAATTCTGACTCCTAGCAACCCTACAGGACTGGGTACAACTGTCCCTGTGGATTTCTGAAGACTATAATTCTTTACAGAATAGAAAGCCCTATCTTTCTCCCTTGGAGTTACTGGTGGTTTCAAACTGCTGCCCCTGTGGTTAGCAGCCCAATGTGTAGCCACTACACCACCACGGCATTTAGTATGTTAAACTATAATCACCCCAAAATATAAGCATTGCTTATCTTCACTTTAAACCTTTCCTTAAATCTTTTGTCACATACGGCACTTGAGTTAAAGAACTTGTGTAAACTGTCACAAAGCTTGTGTAGGCACCACAAAACCCTAAGAAGCATCAACTCCTGGGTTTCTCTAAAACTTACTTCACCTGTGCTGAAACCTCGGTAAATAGAACTTTCAGATAAGCACAGACAGTTTAAAGGTAACATTTGATATCTTTGTCTTGTAACAGTAATAAAAGATTGAAGTCATTCTTGGGAACAGAAATACTCTATGACCCAACAATCCATCTATTTGGTATATATCCTAGAGAAATAAGAATCGTGACACACATGGATATATGCACACCCATGTTCATCGCAGCACGAACACCAGCAAAAGACTGAATCAACCTAAATGCCCATCTGTGGAAGAATGGATAAACTTTGGGACACACACTGGATTAGTACACAACGGTAAATCATGATGAAGCTGCAAAACACCTCCTATCATGGGTGAAGTTGGGGGACATTATGCTGAGTTAATCAGTCCCAAAAGGACTATCTTGTATGAGACCACTATTGTAAAAGGTCGAGAAACAAAGTTTTCACACTGAAAGTAACCTTTTTTCGTGGCTACCAGGAATGGGGCAACAGGAAGGAAGGGTAAGTCCTGAGAGGGTGGGTAACTGAGTGTGAAGGGGGAGAAATGTACACTAAGAGGAAAGGTTGGCAAAAGACCGACGGAGGCAAGGCAGACACTGGATGGTTTACCAGAGTTAAAGCGACAGACCCAAATGTTCCTATATACATATTCCTGCAACAGTGGGGATCTACAAGTACTTGCTTGGACAGACACCAGGCTGAACAGGAATGGGAAGGAGAGTGGGAGTACACCTACAGATACAGAGATGTCCCAAAGGATGTTTGTATATGTGTATTTATCTTTGCTTCAAATTTACCCATGAATGTATTGGAGCATACGGGGGCAAAGTTATAAAAACTCTTGGGCATAAATAAACACCTTGAGGGAATGAGTCACTAAACCTAAGGGATCAGGACCTTCCTCTCAGGGAGTGCCAAGGTCAACAGGCATAAAACAATTCCCAATGATAATGCTCTACATCCTACTGTGGTGAACAGCAACTGTGGTCATAAAAACTACTGAGTAGCCATGTAAAGTGCGACTCCTAATCTCTCCCCATCCAGAAGCAAGGATTAAAATGGAAAGATACAGTAAAAACTATTAGTCCAGTGGGCTAATTGATCACAGAAATGCCCGTCTCCACAAGCCTGAGACTAAAGAGCCAGATGGTACCCAAGTACCACTACCAACTACTATAAAAACAATCACATTATAAGGTCCTAGAGAGCGTGGAAGGAGCCCTTGTGGCATAGTGGCTATGAACGGGCTGAAATTCACAGTCGGCAGTTCAAAGCCACCAGCTGTCCTTCCCCCGTAAAGAGTTACAGGCTCAGAAAAGCACAGGGGCCATTCTACCTTATCCTATAGGCTCTCCATGAGTCGACATCGACTTGGTGGTGGTGAGTTTTTTGGGTGAGAGATAGTGGAAGAACAATGTGGAAAATAACCCCAAATCATAAGAGAGAACAGGCTTACTGGTTGGAAAGAGACTGGTGGAAGCCTCAGGGGTAGAGCCCTTAGTTACTTTTTAAATCTAGAACTGAATTCAAGCCCATGTTCGAATCATTACAATTTTAGAGTCAAAAGGGCAGCATTTAGCCAAAGAAAAAACACATAAAGAGTAGGAATAAAAATAGGAAACACAGGAGAAAGTGGGGAAAGTGATGGTACACAGAGGGGTTGAGATGGATGAGCCAGAGCAAAACGTCTGAACTGTGGCAGGTAAGACGGATGACGTGCCCTGCAAACCTTCATCTAACTCAAAACAAATACTTTAAAAGCAATACAGTTGTCTATATCAGCTGGCTACATTCTTTACAACTTCAATTCTTCATACAGATAATAAAGGCTGAATCTGCTCACACCAAAATATTTCACAAAGGTAGTAATATTTAGTGGTTCAGAGCGCTTGACTCTACAGCCAGACTGTTTCCCAGCTCTGCTTTAATCGACTGTGATCTCGGCAAGTTACTTAACCTCTCATCTGTAAAAGGGAAGAGTAAACTTACCTCAAAAAGTTATTTTAAGTATTCAACCGGTTAATAAATATAAAACACTTAGAACAATGCCTGGTATATACTGCACATTATAAAACTTTGATATTATTGTATTTTAATTTTTAACCTAAAAGTATGGGGAAAAGAAAGGCAATTCACTTTTTTAAATTGTTTTTAAATTCTGAGTATTAATATTCAATACTGAGTTGGCGGTAATTCACTTTTGCAGACTTGAAAGCTGAAAACTCTTATAGTTTGGGACTCTTAGTTTCTTTCACTCTACAAATGGGCAAAACAAAAAGAAATGTGAATTAATCTTCAGTCCATTTCCTTAAACTAAGCATTCTATTGAGATAATAAGTAATTTTTAAATCCACTTGATCTCATTTAATGTAACAGTAACTCTGGAAAAACCAACATTAGTCATGAGGTTCCTACCAGTAAGCCTTAACCTACTATTTCTAGTCTTTTTTCCTCCAGATACCTAACACTTTAAAAAAGAATCTTACAAAGGCTAACCTAAAACAATATTTATTATAATAGGGATGCACAGACAGGCCCCAAAAGACTAAAGATTAATAATGTACGTAGTGGCCCCTTAGGTCCCAACAGCCACTTCCCATCCTGTCCTTCCAGACTGAAGGATATAATAACTGTTCTATCTGCAGAAGCTGTCAAGATCAGTTGATTTTTCTCTTCACAAGATTCCAAAGAAGGAAATGGAATAATAGCAGTTATCTTCTGAGTGTGTCCACTGAGCTCCAGAAGTTTTTCTCCTGTCTGAAATACCAATAAAAAGGTGAACAGGCTCATAGTCACAACGCAGATCATCTTAAATGACAACATCAAGAATCACAATGTGGAAATATACATACATGCTTCTCCTTGGTCTTTTGGTTAAGAGCGAGGATAGGAAATATATATGCATTCCACTTAAAATTACTTATATAAGACTTACAATTTTATAGTGAAGCAATCAAATCAAGTGCTAATAGCTGCATAAAACTCTTAATTATTTTCTAATATTTAATGTCAATTTTAAGGATATTTAATGGAAAATTTATAGGATATTCTTTACATATGACTTAAAAAATTTAAATATGTAAAGAATAAAAATAAATTTTAGCCTACAGGAAAAAAAGTTGGGAGTCATCTGTCTCTAAGAATTCAATATCTAAGTCGCTTCTGTTATAAGGTAGTAGAAGGGAATGAAAGTAAATATAACAAAAAACATGTATATCCAAATGTACAAGCCATTCATAAAATCATTTTCTACTCTCTTAACACCAGCAACTATTCTCATCCATCCAATGTCTTTTTTTATATATAACTCATTTTATTGGGAGCTTTTACAGCTCTTATAATAATCCATACATCAATTGTATCAAGCACATTTGTACATATGTTGTCATCATTTTCAAAGCATTCTTTCTACTTGAGCCCTTGGTATCAGCTCACTTTTCTCTCCTTCCCCCACTCTCCCACCCTCCCGAGGGTGGGATAAATTATAAATTATTATTTTCATATCTTACACTGTCTACTGTCACTCTTCACCTACATTTCCGTTGTTTGTCCATGGAGGGGGAGTATATGGTGATCAATCTCCCCTTTCTGCTCCTTCACCCCCTACCTTCCCTACCCTCATGGTATCACTACTCCCCTTACAGAAGAAGCATTAAAACGAGAGGAATGCTGTGTTTGTTGGTGCTATACTGCACCCTGCCTGGCGCGTCCCTTTCTTGTGACCCTTCTGTGAGGGGATGTCCAATTGTCTACATATGGATTTTTGATGGCCACTCCAAACCCCCTTTTTCACATTGATATGACTGTTTGTTTGAGGTCTTCTGATACCTGATCCCTTCGACACCTCATGGTCACCCAGGCTGGTGTGCTGCTTCCATGTGGGCTTTGTTGCTTCTCTGCTAATGGCCAGTTGTTTAACTATCAGTTTGTTACTAATTGTTCCAAGCAGTAAGCATACAAATATACAACATAAATATAAACTGCAAATCTTCCAAACTTGTAGGATTTCATGAACATGATAAGAGTAATATTAAAGAACTGCTTGCAAGCAGAATCAATGACAGATAACACAATCAAGAAAAAATATGTAGGTGAAATAAATGATTCAAAGAGAATGATTCTGTATCAAAGGATCAGAAAGAAAGGCCTCTGATAAATTTGGTGAAGCTTTAAATATTTTTGCTGAAATAAAGTTCTTATGTTGGTACTTAAGTTAAATATGGTAAAATGTGATATCATAAAATTCTGAAAAAAATGTCCCCTACAGAACTAATGCTTAGATCATTTTAAACATCAGTATATAGTTGCTGGCTATCGAAATTGTGTTGAATAGTTTTAAATATTTTTCATAATTAAGAATTTTGTTCCTGAGAACAAATTTTAAATTTAAAAAGTCCTCTATTTATGTACATACTATTAGTGCCCATTTTAATTGGCTTTGCTCTAAGTAGTCCTGTTTGAGGATTAATGAGCCTCAAATAAGGATAAGTATGCTTTTTCTAGGACATCACTCAGAAGGAATCCAGATGCAGGATCTACCCAAACAACCACCTCACAGAGACCCTACGGAACAGAGGAGAACTGCTTGGCAGGGCTTCTGAGACTAACTCTTTATCGGAAGAGCACCTCATGGCTCTCCCACAAAGTGATGGTGGGTTACACTGCTGACCTGGTGGTTAGCAACCTAACGTGTAATCCTACACCACCAGGGCTTCTCAACAAGGATCTAGGTATAGAGATACTGGTTGCAGTTTATAAATTACTACTCAACTATGCAATCCATGTACAGTCCACTGAGAAGAAATACACACCTGGGCATTCCACACAACTACAATGCCATCATCACCAGCAGATGCAAACCTGGTTAGAAAAATAAAATAAAGGAGTCACTGGTAACATTTCATTGCTAAGATAACTAAAATCGCTAACACTTTGTTGATGATATTTTCACTTAAATTCAATAACACATAAAATTCTCATAAAAATATCCCCTATAAAAGTACTATTTAATTCATTTTAAACATCAGCCTACAGCGGGTCAGAGAACAGTTTTAATGTTCACTGAATAGTTTCTAAGTTCTATACCAAGTACTGAAAATCCCAAAGACAAGATGGTGACAGGGTTGCAGTGAATTAAGTGCTACAAATGTAAAAATGAGTAAGCTATATTAAGTACTGGAAATGAAAAAAATGAGGCTTTAAAGCCCTTCCTTGCTTCAATAGTACTGATTTCAGGTAACTTCCAACTGACGTAAAGGAACACTAAGCGAGAAGCGGGCTCACTGGTCACGATATTCCAGGGATGGAACAGAACAATCTTAGGTACAGGAGGTAAGAAGAAGTCCGAGTTCGAGGTGTGCACTCCACGGGGCAGGGCAGTCCTTCTCTGTGCTTTTAACTTCCAGTAACCGCGAGCCCTCCTAGGCGTTCTGGCCTTGTCGATCCATCGATCGGCCGTGCATGTGTCCATCTGCTTTTTCAAAGACGTCACTCAGAAGAATCAGATGCACGATCTACCCTAACGTCTTCTCTCATACACAAAAAAGCCCTGTATTTCCAAAGATCCTATTTACAGAAACAGGAGCTAGGACTTCAACACAACTGGGGGGGAGGGGCAGGGGCTTGAGCTATTTCAATCTATAACAGTGTCCTGAGATACAAAGGAGCTTAAAAAGTTTATGGAAGAATTAAATGTAAAGATAATAGAATTTTTCCATAAACTTTTAAAAACCCCTTGTAAAAATCATTATTTTTACTGTTTTCTCTTTATACAAATTTTATTTAAAGCCAAGACCCCCTTTTCTTTGCTCATCTTGGCTCTTTATCATGTTTTATAAATGCAATTTTCTTGGTTTGCAATTTTTTTTGTTCTTTTATTTTCCAGTGAAGATGTCTGAAATAGAAAAAGTTATAGGAAAACTTGTTTCATAACATGAAAAAAGAGAGATGATGAACTCAATTAAGTCTCACTCTCTTCATCTCCCAGTCACTATACTGTGATTTACCTTTTACAGAATAAAAGACATGACACTAACACTACCAAGAGGAAAAAGAATGGTCACACAGGATTAGTCATCATACCGACTGGATTATTACAAATTCAAGAAGCATTGTTCTTAAGCACTGTCCCAACATAATAATGTACAGTAATAACACTGCGAACTCATCAACTAATTTATTATTAATAACAAAGTACACGCATTTATAAACAGTGTCCCTTGGGTGACATACACTTGACTACTAGCATTAATATTCAAATCCACCCAGTGGCACCAAGAGTAAAGTCCTGGAAATTTGTTCCTGCAAAGATTTACAGCTTCAGAAACACCATACGGTATTACCAAAAGTCGGAATCAACTTGATGGCATTGAGTTTGAATTTTTTAGTTGAACTGTTATGGCTGAAAGATTACCAAAGAGATGTGAAACTGGTCAAATGTAGTCTGTCCACATCTATTAGTTATTTATCATAAAATATACAAGCTATGGATCTTTTTGTTTTTTCTTTCAAGGGCTTTTAAAAGTTAGGTAACCACACAAATTGTAAAAAAGTATAATCTAAACCCATCGCCATGGGGTTGATCATGGTTCACAGCAGCTGTACGGGTTACAGAGTAGATTCTTCCATATGGGTTTTTTGGCTATAATTTCTACCAAGCAGATTTACACAACTTGACTCTGTAGTGCCACTGGATGGGCTTGAATACCTATTATTGTAGTCATTACGTAAGCCACTTGAGCCACCCAGGGGACACTATACAAGAAAAGACTTATTTTTAACTGCATAGCTAACATTTATTTATTTACATTTAGAAGAATAAGCTATAAAAGGTGTGTACATTATACAGACAATAATTTAAAATTTAACAATATTTCTTAAATTTAATTTTCTGAGCCAGAATACTAAGCAATGCCTTGGGAAACAAAAATAATTGCTGGAAGTAACTTTTTAATAGTTTGTGTTTCTGGGCTAAGTGATTTCTTTTTATTTGCAAAGTAATGGAATAGAAGGCAAGATTCCAGGTCTTCAGATTTGTTTGTATAAACATCAATTTATATTGATTCTTGAAACTTGTAATTGCTTTTCTACCTTTTAGAAGACTGCAGATTTTAAATACATACTTTTTGTTCTAATCCTGATTTTTAACTTCTCATTATTTTATCATGTTTGAATCTCATGAGTTCACAATAAAAGATAATTGAATGGCTAAGAGGTTAGAAATGAGATATAGAGCATTTTACCTCAAGCCTTTAATTCAATCAGTAGTGAACAAAAGTTAACTCTAAACAATGCTCAGTGGTAATGCATGAAATCACAGCCAATTTTTTATTGCTCAGAGGTCAATTACTCAGTTGGTGGGTTATCCAGGCCTTTCAATTCTCTTTTATTCCATTCCTGTCTTTTCATTATTTATTACTATCTCCTCTAAAAAAGAAACATAAAACTTTAAAATACAAAACAGAATAACATTTCTATACGCTAGCATAGCTCATGAAATAATAAGAAGGTAGTAAACGATTCATGAATCATAATTATCCATTCTACTACAATGTATACAGATAAAAACTAGTTGTACTATTTCCATTAATTTTAAGCCAAAAGCCTGCAGGTCACACAGTCTAGCCATCTCCAAATCAGAAATGAAAATTCAACTCATGAATTCCTATTTGCAAAGTATATTGTAACTACTAAAAAGTAATAATGAGCTATAAATAAATAATTAATATGTCAATTAGGTTTAAGCTATGACTATATTGCTATCAAATTATATATACACTAATTTTTAAAACATTATATATTTCTACAATTCAAACACTTAAGTTTTTGATTTTTGAAGACCTGTACAAAAATCACAAAAGCATATAATTTGGGGAGGATCTGTTTCTTTACTGATTAATGAAAATTGCATCTAGTAAAACACTATTCTGGTTAACCAACCCAGGTAAAAGGGAACAACAAGTGATCCAAAATCAGAGGCAAGGAGGGTGTAAGCGGCCTGGTAGGGACTGGTTAAGGGCAATGTAACCGAGAGGAATTACTGAAACCCAAAGGAAGGCTGAGCATGATAGTGGGACAAGAGTTAAGTAAAAGGAAATAGAGGGAAGAACTAGGAGGCAAAGGGCATTTATAAAGGTCTAAATAAAGGCAAGTACATATGTAAATATATTTATATATGAGGGTGGGGAAATAGATCTATGTGTATATATTTATAGGCTTAGTATTAAGGTAGCAGATGGACATTGGGCCTCCACTCCAGCACTCCCTCAATGCAAGAACACTTTGTTCTATTAAACTGGCACTCCATAATGCTCATCTTCCCAATATGATCTGAAACGTGACTGTAAACATATCTAAAACTAAAGGGTTTTTTTACATTTAAAAAGAAAAATTAAATAGGGAGAGGAGGGGGGAAATGAGGAGCTGATACCAAGGGCTCAAGTAGAAAGAAAATGTTTTGAGAATGATGATGGCAACAAATGCACAAATGTGCTTGACACAATGGATGGATGTATGGATTGGGATAAGAGTTGTATGAGCCCCCAATAAAATGATTAAATTTTTTAAAATACATTATTCTCTTAGGGAAATGCAGATAGAACTATACATGGTTCTTGCCTTAAGATTTTTTTTAAATGATGAGTTTTTTTAATGTACCGTACTTTATGAATTCTAAGATATCAATTATTTACTTCTATTCAACATACTATTAAGATAAAAATGTTGCTGGTTATACCTGAAAATCCCCATACAAGGGGTTAACAAAACAGAAAACAAATTTACTATGATAAAATCAATGTGATACTATAGGTAAACATTTAAAAAATTGACAGGTGGATGCTCTGTTAAGCTATTAGTATTATAGCTTCTGATTCATAATACAAAGAATTTTTCCTGGTACAGGTACCATAAATCTCTTAAAAACTACTTTAACATTATCAAGCCATCAAAAACAATTAGCTAATGTCATATTGTTTCTTAAAAAGCTTCCCATGAGAATACACCTGGTATTATGTTTCTAAATGGGCACTTTGAGCTAGTGTCTATCCAGCCCTTGGTGACTCAGACTGTGTGATACAGACACCTTTTGACTCTAGTCCTTTCGAGGTGCACAGTATCCTTCATAGGTCACACCACAAGGACTTGACGTGGAAATCTGACTAAGCCCACTGGGCTTTACCTTAAACTCATCTGATAGAAGATTTAAGGAACCAACATACTTCTTTGGATTTGAAGCTGAAATGCTCAAACATGAGAAGCAGATGGACCACTATGCCAAGGTTATGGAATGGGTGGTCATTGGACTTTGGTTCAGACCTTTTGCTTTGAGAGTGCCCAATAAATCATGGCCAGGAACTATCAGATATTTACTATTTGAATGCTCTTTTGCTGTTTTATGACATGTGTTAGTCTGGCAAGCATGATTCTGCCTTTATAGATAAATGTTACTGAAAGTTTTGCCCTACTTCCAACCCTCATGATTCATGTGAATAGTGTCCAGTCACTTAGGAGTTTAATCTGTACAAGTCAATAATTTATGTACTGCAGTCTGAAAAGTCAGGCTGTACATGTATAATTTCCTTTTCTCAACAGTGTTTTAAATACTACACCATTGGCTAAATTAATGATACCATCAACAAAATTACCTTATTCCCCATTGGGATGATTTATAATGTTCTCTCTTATAAAATGATCACAATGGCTCTAAAGTGAGTTACAGATATATACAAACTATAGGTATATAAATGGATTTGGGGCTCATAATGGGAATCCCAACATCAGAACAATTTCATTTTCATGGCATGGCCCTACTCAATACTCAACCTCATGACGAGATCACTGAAGATATGGGTGCTACAGCA